ATCCATCTCCAGACCTGAAGATAGTGTTGAACTTCTCAACTCATGGATCCGCAATAACAACATGGTTATCTCGTGGATTCTTAATTCTGCGTCAAAGGAGATTTCAGCTAGTATAATCTACTCTAAATCTGCTCATGAAATCTGGATTGACCTTAAGGAACGATTTTAGCAGAAAAATAGCCCTCGAATCTTTCAACTGAGGCCTGAGTTAATGAATCATATGCAGGGACAAATGTCAGTTAGTGTTTACTTCACTAAGCTGAAAACGGTTTGGGAAGAACTTAGCAATTATAGGCCCTCGTGTTCATGTGGAAAATGTGTTTGTGAAGGAAATAAAAAAATTGGTGGAACACTACCACATGGAGTATGTTATGTCCTTTTTAATGGGGCTGAATGAGTCTTAATCTCAAATTAGGGTCATATATCACTTATGGATCCCATTCCCCCAATTAATAAAGTTCTCTCTCTTATCACTCAAGAGGAACATCAGAGGGGGTAAATTCGATTACTGGATCTACTGATTCCTTGGCCTTCTATGCCAAAAATGATGATAGAAAGCCAATCCTGGGGCAGTCTTACAACAAAATTCAGAGGAGAGATAAGCTTATTTGCACCTACTGTGGCTATGGAGGTCATGGAGTTGATAAATGTTACAAACTCCATGGCTATCCACCTGGATACAAAGCAAAACAGAGGGCTAGTTCTGGTAATCAAACTGGTTATAAATCAAATGATGTAGCTACCCAAGTTTCTGATTCAATTTCAGGCCAAATTGCTGGCAATGTTGGAAATTTTGTACAAACTTTAAATCCTGGTCAGTAGAAACATTTGATGAACATGTTGAGCACACATCTTGCTGTTTCAAAGGTAGGAGATGAGATTTCCAATTCAGACCATGTATCATGTACATGTTTGTCTATTTCAAAAAATAAGCTATTCAATTATGCTGGACATTGGGTTGTGGATTCTAGGGCAATTAGTCGTGTTTGTTTTAATCGTGCTTTATTCAAAACACTTAGGGTAATAAGATATGCTTATATCACATTACCAAATCATATCAAGATACCTGTGCATTTTACTGGGAGTGTTGACCTCAATCCTGAATTAACTCTTCAAAATGTATTAATTGTCTCTCAATTCACGTTTAATCTCCTATCAATTAGCTCTTTGACCAAGGGTTCAAATATAAGTGTCAGATTCTTCACTGACTATTGTGCCATTCAAGATCAGTGCAGTTGGAAGACGATTGGCAGGGCTGATGCTGTCGATGGACTTTACATCATTGAAGCAGGATTTGATGTAATGAAAAATGATTGTAATTTGTTTGCTGTTGTTAACAGTCGTGTATGTTGTAATAAATAAGGTGATCTCTCATGTTTGGCACCATAGATTAGGACATTTATCTTTTAAAATGTTGGAAACTTTGAAGGATCAGTTACAGTTCAAAAGTGAGAAAAGTGGTATTAATCCTTGCTATATTTGTCCATTGGCTAAACAAAGGCGTTTATCTTTTGCTTCAAATAATCACATGTCTCCCAACAGCTTTGACCTCATCCATTGTGATGTTTGGGGTCCATATAGCTCTCCAACTCGTGAAGGCTATAAATATTTCCTAACAGTAGTTGATGATTGTACAAGGTTTACTTGGGTTTATCCGTTGAAACAAAAGTCTGATGTGCATGAAATCATTCTCAGATTTTTCAGCCTTGTTGAAACACAATTCCATAAAATTATTAGAGCATTTAGGTCTGATCATGCACCTGAATTGAGATTTACAGAATTTTTCAATCAAAAAGGGGTGTTACACCAATTTTCTTGCCCTGAATGTTCCGAGCAGAACTCAGTTGTTGAAAGGAAGCACCAGCATTTGCTAAATGTGGCAAGGGCCTTATATTTCCAATCACAAGTTCCAATTTCATTTTGGGGTGATTGTGTCATGACTGCTACTTACCTGATAAATCGATCTCCTTCATCAATTCTTTAGAACAAAACACCTTTTTCCTTGTTATACCAGTCATATGTTGATTATAATTTCCTTAAGGTGTTTGGCTGTTTATGTTTTGCTTCGACCATCACCGTTTAAAATTTCATCATAGAGCTAAGGCTTGCGTTTTTATTGGCTATCACCCTGGCATTAAAAGGTATCGATTATATGACATTCTTTC